CCTGCCCTGCCCTGCCCTGCCCTGCCCTGCCCTGCCCTGCCCTGCCCTGCCCTGCCCTGCCTTGCTGGAAAGGGATAACATCCCTTCCAACTCGGTGAAGGCAACCTCTGTCTTCCTCCCTTCCTTATTAAGATTACAAACAGTTTGCAATTTAAATCAAGCCTTTGTGATGTTTCCCAGTGAACATAAAATAAATTTATTTAAATATAAAGCAATGCAAATTACTTGCTGGCTGAAGAGAGAACAGCACCAGTGCCATTAACTTCCTCTTCTTTGAGCAGCAAATCCCCATAAATCTTCACCTAAGAAATCAGTTATGCCACAGTAAGCAGCAAATAAGTGAGGACTTTTACAATAATAAAGAAAGCAAAAAAAGAACCATGAAAAAAAAAATAAATGTTTTCAAAACCGAAAGAAAAAGCATCACATCACCATAACTTCCCTGTCTCGTATGGTTAGAATTCTTTGTGTCCCCAAAGACATCATCATGTCTCCCCAGGAGCGTCTCCCGCTTTTCCCTGTTTCTCTTCTATAAAGCTCATTGCTTTATTGGCTAAAACAGAAAAACTCAGAGATGTTAAACTATCTAACCAACCCAGCTATTCCTCCTCCAAAACATCTGCAATTGACAAGTGAGAACATTTGCAATCGGATTGTAACATGTTTGGAAACAATAGTGAAATCACTGCAATTAGTATTTGAATATTTTAACAGTTGATATTTTTTACTAGGAAGGATAACAGATGGACATATTAAGGAGATCTCAGTTTGAAAAATATTGTTAAATAATAAACCAAACTATTTACTTTCACAGACATGTCAGATCTGATCATATTGAATGAAGAAAGATAACTCCACCATTTCAGAGAGCATGGTAACAATATCAAGCACCAGATTTGGGGTTTTATGCAAAGGAAGTAAATTGTTAGTCATTTAAATTAATTTTAATTAGTTTGGGGAAACTTGTTTGAAGAAGGGAAAGGAGCAGGAATATTAGGAAAAAGTGACCATATAATTCCTGATTTTAAGGGAAAATAAAACTAAGTGTAGTCAAGCACGTATTTAGATTTTTTAAGTGGATTTTAAAGTCTGTAAGTGGAATTGTTGGTAAAACTAATGGGAAAAGGAGCTCAAGATTGATGGGAATTCACAAAGAAAGAAATACTAAAAAAAAGTCCAATGAGGAAAAAATTGAGGACAGCAGAAGAAATCAAGCTATACAAAAAGCTTAATGAGAATCTGAAAACAAAAAAAGGACACTTACAAAAGATTCAAAGAGAATTGTGAAAGCATAGAATGAACTGAGATTAACATACTAAGAATAAAAAAATGGGCTTCTTTAGATATAGTCAGAAAAAAATGATATTCCAGCTAAAAAGCAAAGACTGTAAAATGCTTTTAGGCAATAAAAGCAAAACTACTCACCTCCTCAAATATCTCCAGCAGGAGAGTATGTGCTTTAGCACATAATTGTGAAGAACAGGATGAATTAAGATGATCAGAGAGTAACTATTTACTTAGTAATATAATTATTTACTTCAAGTTTAAATCTCTGGTGTCAGGTGAACTGTATCTTAAGTTAATGAAGAAACTTCATTAACTTCAACCTGTCCCACCCGTTCACACAGAGAGGGCATGCTTCGGACCCCCTCAGTGAAAGAACTTCGACTGGTGGGGTCAAGAAGGTGGGCCTTCTCTGCA